GGTCAAGCGCCGGGCAACCAAAGAGAAAGAGAGAGGTGCAAGCACGCAACGACCGCCGCATTCCGAGGCAATCACTCTTTTTGGCGCCGGGGCGCAGCTCCAGGCATGGTCTATGGTAGGCGTCGAGCTTCGTCGAACGCCGCAAAGGAAAAACTCTGGTGGATCACCGCCGGGAGCTCTGTCGTCAGGGTGTCGTCGATCCCGGCCAACGCCGGATCCAAAGAAAGACCCCGTCGAGTCCAAGCTGCCCAGCGTCGGGGTGGCTTCTCAGCGCCGCCCTTGGACTCGCAGTCCCTCACACGCCGGGCATTTGTGGCTCCCGGATGCGCCGTGAGCCTGCCGCGCCGAGGGCGATAGGTCGGAGGCAGCGACCTTCTCCGCCGCACACGGCGTCGGCGTCGCGGTGCGGCACCGTGCACGGGTGCGCGCACCAGCCAACGATCCGCCGCTCCTCCTTGCTGTGCCGCACCGTGATTCTGGCGCCGACCACGCCGGTGGGCAGGCGTCGGAGGAAGGGGTAATCCGCCTCTGGCGGGTCTTCGCCACGCCGTGGCGTCGCGGGCCTGGGCAGGGCGCCGCTGGCCTCCATCTCCCTCAGCTGGCCGAGGCCCGTGTAGGCGAAGCGCCGAAGGTGTGGTGGCACCGCCGTCTCCTCGACTCACGCGCCGGCCCTCTCCATCTGGCGTTTGTACTCGAAGTACGCCGGAGAGATGTGGCCCACCTCCTCCGCCGTCCACGGGGTGCTGCCCCACCGCCGCGGATCGTATGCCTCATACTGGCGTCGCTCATGGGCCGATGCCTCCCTGCGCCGCCTCTCTGCCCGCATAGCCTGCGTCGGTACTGAGGACCGTCGTCGGCTAGCGTCGGCAGGCGGCTGGCGGATGTAGGGGAAGTCCTCATTGCCCGCCGCCGCCGCAATCCTGGCCATGCTGGGCGTCGAGAGGATTCTCCCAGGGGACGTCGCCGGCAGGGGCCGGCCACGCCCGCCGAAGCCGAGGCCTCATTGATCCATGAGCTCGCCGAGGACGATGCCGCCTCTGGGCCCTGCCTGGTCACCGTCGAGGTCTGTGGGGGGGGCCTGTCCGCCGCAGAGGCTGCGGCCGTCGAGTGGCTCGCCGAGGTGCTCATGGGCGGCTCCGTCGTCTCCAGGTTGCCCGCCGATACGGTGACCGTCGCTGCGATCCCCAGTGCCGGGTGAATGGGCGCCGCCGCGGCGCCGCCGCCCCTGTTGGGATCAATGACCAACGCCGTGGGAGGCACCAGCGGCGTCGGTGGGCCTTTGTGGCGGGCGCTGCCTGTTGGAGACGCCGCTCCGGAGGCCGCCGCCGAAGCCTCTTCCATGGCGTCGAGGCCAGTAAAGAAGGGACGTCGCCCGGCTGACGTCGAAGAGGAATCAGGGCGAGCTTGCGTCGCCTGAACATTCAACGCCGCGACAATCTCCCTGGCGTTGGGCGGTCCTCGCCGCCCCGAGTGTGCGGGTGTCGTCGTCCCAGAGGAGGGCATCGAAGTCAGCCCTGCCAGGTGTCAGCCCGGGATGTCAGAAGAGACGCCGCCTTGGCCTTGGTGGCGACGTCGATGAAGTAGTCCTGTGGCGCTGGGGTCGCCGTGCCCGAGGCTGGTGCCGAGGGTGGCGCCGAAGGCAGCGGGGCCAGCTCGGCAGGGGGCGTCGCCTTCACAGTGATCGGCGTCGATCGGCCCGAGGGCGTCGGAGCTGTAGCCATAGGCGTGGGAACTCCCGCCGCGGGAGACCCAGCGGACGGTGACCCAATCGCCGTCGAACCAATCACCATGGGGTGCTCCATCACCACGACGTCGTCCGACTCTTCGTCGCCTTCTGGGATGGGCGTCGGTACGAACGGCATGCTGCCTGTACCGCCGGTGCCCCCCGCTCCGCCCGCCGATGATGTCGGCAGCTCTTCCGTCGTAGATCCATGGACCATACCTTCAAGGACCTGGTTCGCCGCATGAGCAGCGTCGTTCAGGTCCGCGATCTGGTACGCCGTGAGGAGGCCGACCACAGGGACATATCCTCTGCGTCGAGCCGCCGTCACGGCCTCCACGAGCTGGGCCGCAATCGTAGAGGCGTCGTTGGAGGAGGATGCCATGACCGCCGAAGGCACACAGGATCTACACAGAAAAGCTTAGGCGAAGGTCGCGTCGAGCCAGAGTGCTGAAGGCAGCTACGCCGTTCACGGTTGTTACTGCGCACACAAGTGTGCTACACTTCATTCATTTCAGAAAACAACCAGAAGATCGGGAACATAGGAAAGCTTTTTCAAGAATTCTCCGAGCGCATCACCATGCGTTTCTACGCGCCGATTGCAAATAAGACACACCATGCGTTTGCAGGCATCATCTAAATGCATATTGCCACGTGTATTTAATTCGGGTCCATCGTTGTATATACACTTAACAACCCAAATCGTATGCCTCAAATCAAATCAAATGCACATCGGGAAGTCCGCATGAGGGGAGGGGGCCCAGCCGCCCCCTCCCCCCTGACCCCGCAGAAGCCAAGCCAAGCCAAACCGTGCTGCCAACTCCCCCCACAGGATCGCCATGCATTTCTATACGCCATCTAAATGCATACATTCACCTGTATGAGAAAACAACGGCCCGTCAGTGTACATGGAATACACAATCCCAAATCATGCGCATCAGATCAAAGCAATTTCCCATGGCCTGGCCACATCCGAAGAAAGGTAATAAGACTGCTGCCAAGGCCCCCACCCTCTAAAATCACCAGGCATTTCTGCACGCCTTCTAGATGTTTGCGGTAACATGTATTGAAGTAGGGCCCATGATTGTTTGTAGATACGACATCATGGAAGGGAAAATGAGATGCTACAAAAGATCAAACGATTGTCTCCATGCGTTTCTACCTGCTACAGAAATGCACTCACGAAGATAAAGTACATAAAAATGAATAGACATGAATGCAGATATATGACTATCGCGGATACATTCAGCAGCCACACCCAAATGCAGCATGCAGATGTTGTTTCTGAAAAACGCTGTTCCTTATTCTTGAAGATCTACCAAAATGTGTCTGAACTTGCCCCGTCGTTCTTCTTGAATTTTGTCGCACAGTTTCTTGACTTATGGTTTCTTGATTTTTCCCGTTCGCGCCTGAAAAGGTTAGCCCTCTACATACAAACATACATACATACGTACATTCATACGTACATACATACATGCATACGTACCTACATATATACATACATACATGCGTACATACCTACATGCTGCAGAAATACTTACATACGTACATACTTACATAAATACATACATAATTACATACATACATACATACATACATACATACATACATACATACATACATACATACATACGTACATCCGACATGCAAAATGGCATGACAGATGGCATCACATACATGCATGTATGCACTACATGCGTAACATACATGCATGCGACCATTTCCTACAGAACATACATCCCGTACATACGATGCATAGCAGCATAGCATAAACAACATTATACAATTATACAGTACAGCATATCATAACGCAACGCGGCTTCGGATATTCTAACATGCACCACATGCCATACATACACAACCTGCCCTAGATACACACGATGCGCGCACAGATACCCACATGTACATGTACATGCATACATGCCTACATGCATACATGCATACATGCATGCATGCATGCATGCATGCATGCATGCCTACCTACATACATACATTCGTGCATACGTACAAACATACATACATATACATATACATACTTACATACATACTATACATACGGACATGCATACTTATCCGCCGAGGCCAAAGGCCTCTGGCGTCTTGATGATTAATACTAACTAACCAACCCTCTACCTAATCCTTCTCCCTGCAGCCCAAATGCAAACTTCCACCCGTTTTTAGCGACTGTTTTCGACCCCCTTGCCCGGCTTCCGTCCTTTTTTGCTGCCGAATTTGCCTCCCCTCCTCCTCCTGCTCCCCCCTCCCGGGCCCCTCCCTACCCCCGCCCTTCCCGTCCCCTCCCTCTCTCTTCTCCCCCTCCGGCCCGTCCTCCCCTCTGCCCTCCTCGCTCGTTTTCCTTTTTTGGTTCCCCACCCTTCCGTCTTGTCCTGCCCTCGCGTGTTTTTCGATTGCCTGAGCGTTTTCTTTCACCTTTTCTTCTCTTTCGGCCTGCCCCCGGCTCCACTGTCTTTTCTTCTTATGTTTCGTTTGCGTGCTTCTTTCTTTGAGGCTCTCGTTTTGCTGTTTTGTTGCCCCTCACCCCCCCCCAGCCCTCCTCCCTCCCCGCCCCCCCGGCCCCTTTTCCCACCCTTCCGTCTTGTCTGCACTTCTTTTGGCTTGTTTTCCTTCCTTCCCCCCCTCCCCCTCTTGCTGGCCCCCCCTTCCTCCTCCTTTGGCTCTCCTGCTTCCTCCTTGAAGCTCCGTCGTTTTGCTGCCCCTCGCCCCCGCCCCCGCTCAGCCCCTCCTCCCTCCCCTGGCCCCCCCCGGTCTTGTACTGCCCCCCCCCTCCCCCCTTCCTCCCCCCCCCTTGCTGGCCCCCCCTTCCTCCTCCGGCCCCCCCTTCCTCCTCCGGCTTCCCCTCGTTTTTTGTTTTATCCTGCTCGTTTTCTTTCCTCTTTTCTTCTCTTCCGGCCTGCCGCCCCCCGGGCCGGCTCCACTGGCCGGCTCCACTGCCTTTTCTTCTTATGTTTCGTTCGCGTGCTTTGGCTTTTTCGGCCTGCCCCCCCCGGGCCGGCTCCACTGCCTTTTCTTCTTATGTTTCGTTCGCGTGCTTTGCTCTACACTTGCCACACTTCTCCAACTAGCCCTGACCCTGCAACTAAATTACACCTGCCTTGAGAGGCCCTTCGCAGTTTGGCCCCTGCTCTGCGCCCCTGCTGGCCCTACTGCAGCCGGCGGCCGAGGCGGGCTGCGTAGCATTAGAATTATGTTGTAGCACAGTAAGGCAGAACTTCGAACTGGTCCCTTCAATAAAAAAGACTTGCTTCATGTCTGTCCGTGCCTCGATGTAGGAAGTTAGCAAGGGGACGATCTTCCTTTGCAAGACCTGTCCAAGACCGCGGACACTCTTGTTACTTAATGATTTGCAGATACGACTCATCTGCGCCTGCCATTCCCCCAGCTTGGCTCGGACACAGCCCGCGTCCTCACACAAGATTCAGCTCACAAAGCGCTTGCAGGATCCTTGTTGGCAAGCTCCACCCGTCCGTCTGAGAAACTGCTTTCTCCAGGTCTTGCAGAGAAGTTAAGCACCTGGAATCGAGGAGCGTGCCAAAGTGCCGAAGCAGAAATTCGCGACAAGGCCGCTCTTCGCGTCTGAGCAACAGGACTCGTCTCGCTGACGATATAAATATTTTGCATTCCTTTCTCCTTCGACCTCTCAAGTCAAGACGGGAAAGCACCGGCAACAGTTCCTGCAGTGGGAGGTGTTGCGCCTTGTGATAGTCACCGAGCCCGTAGCAGGTGTCGAAGAGACTCTGCATGGCCTCCAACGTCCAAACCGATGCCGCTGCCACGTCTCGAGGCCTTGATGCCGAGGACCCGGCCGTCTCATCTCTGGCTGTGAAGTCAGACTCTGCTCTTTCCCCGGTCTCCATGCTAAACACCCACCCGGCCTACATGGACCCCTTCCTATTCCATCTGGTCCTGATTTCGATGGAAAGGATCCGTGGCAGCTTCGTCGCTGCATCAGGCGCGCTGCAAACCGGAAAAAAATCGGAAATGGTGGACAGGTGCCCATTCCTTTTCCATTTTCAACGAGCATGCACATCAAATTCTGGCATCCGCACACTGGCGAGACCATTAACAACAACGGGTCAGACCATTGCCGAGACGGTCACTCGGCTTTGTGGTCGAACTCCGTGCATGCGTAACACATTACCCTAGCTACCAGGCTATCCTGCAGCCGTATTCAGTTGACGGCCAGTGGCAGCCAATCATGCATTATCACGTCACACTCACACCCTGCAAGTAGAGTAGCACTAACAACAAGCTGTCTCACACGGGCACTTCTGCGCCATGCCCAGCGTTTAGCCGAGCACCAGGTTCGACTGGCCACCGGGAGCTTGATGCACGACCTGAGAGATTCTGACAGTGTCGTGCCCGTATCCCAGGCCAGCAGGCCAGAAATCAGGCAGGTGCAATGCCACGCCGCTCATGCCTGTCATTGCGCTGATCATTCGAAGGCAGCACCTGTCATCGAATCGCAGCAATCCCAGAGCTCGCAGAGCCCAACGTCCGGCTCGAAGCCTCGAGGGCTTTGCGCTCCCTGTCTGCACCTGACGAGCGAAGCTCGCAGTGCGAAAACTCAGGAAAAGTGGGGACTCAGACTCAGGTCAAGGCCGAGGGAAGGCAGCGAAGCGGCGATGGGCCTCAGTCGCTCCCTCCGATGCGGCTCACCGCCAAAGCACACAACAGCCGAATGCAGTGAAGAGGCCCAGCATCAGCTGGTACGAAGACCACCGGCTTCGAGAACATTCCTCCCGGCTCTGCCGCTCTGCTCCGCTAACCGAATGGAAGCTGCGGACGGCCTGGCCTGAGAGCTTCTCAATATGAACCAGACGGTCATTCAGATCCTTGCGCCGCCAGCAAAGTCTCTCGTGCGACGAGACAGAAGACCCGGAGCCTTCTCGCGCTGCTTCTGACCGACCGTCTCGATTTTGAAAGGCAGGCTCATCTGCGCTTTCTCGACTTCCACGTTTCGCTGCCTGGGCACATCTTCTGCTGACAAGTACAATGCCACAATGCGGAAGTGGAGCCTGAGGACGTCCAGTGTCTCCTGTCGCTCCTCCTCGTCGACTTTTCTGTAGCCTGGCCTTGGCTCTTGGCGATCTGCGTCTGGGAAGGCTTGAGGCTGAGATGGCTGAGGCTCCCGCGGAGGCTGGGGTGAGACGGGTCGTGCTGCTCTCCTCTTCTCCTCTCGTTACTGCTCTGTGCAAGTCTCAAACACGGCCCTAAACCATCTGGTCCTCTGCGAGCTCTTCCTGACGCCTCTTCAAGTATGCAGGCACCTTTGCCCGGCTGCAGAGTCCACCATGTTCCCAGGCACTGTCAAAGCTTCAAGATACTGATTAAAAGCGTGCAACAGCGGCGCCTTGCCAACGTCCTTCCGATCAATCGGAGGAGCAGCGTCGCCTGCCGATGCCGGCCACGGATCTTCTGGGAGCTGAGTTTTGAGAGGGCCGAGGACCGGACCAATCCGGACCTTCTCCGGTGCTCGGTTGGCCGACAAGGAGCGAGCCTAGCAGACAGGCGGACACGTGCTTCGTCGCACGGCCTGGGCCTGGTGCTCTGCAAGCCTTGGCCCGCGCTGCTCCAGGGGCCCCAGGGCCACCTTGCCGTGCAGAAGCACTAAGTCTAAGTGAAGTTTCAAACTTGAAAGGCCAGGACGGGCAGTCAGCTCAAGAACATCAGCTAAATTGTTGTTTAATCAAATGCGTCATCTCCTGCACACCCTCGCAGATCCCGTGCTTCCAGTCTTCCATGTTGCAAGCTTCGTCGGAAGGCCTCGTCCGGCTCTGCTGGAAGGCACGGAATCATCGTCTTGTTTGCCTCTTCGTAATGGAGCCTACTGGGCCTACTGGTCTCCTCTCATTGCTGGTTCACTGCCAGCCCAGCCTCGGGGTGGCTCACTCGGGGCTCTTCGACCTCCAGCAGTAAACCAAAACGTCACTGACACCCAGAACCACAAAATTCCCCAAACCAAGCTGGGGGTGATGCCCGCACCGTCCGCCAAGGGCCTTGGGCGCGGCCTGCGCTCTTCACTGGGCCTGGCAGCCGCAGCTGACATGATAGAGAGGCTGCTGCCACAATCGGGCTTGGGAGTAGACTGTTGAATTGATTCTGAAGCATTCTGCCACGAAGCATCTTCAGGCAACTGCATTTATTCGTCGATTCGTGGTGGATCTGCTGTACTGCCAGTTTCAACGTCGCTTCTGCGCTGTGCCTCCTGGGATGTGCAGAGCCAGCACTAGCAGGACTGTTTGTCTGTCCTGCGGCGCGAAAATCACTCCCATATCATCGTACCAATGAGCGACCATGAAGGACAATCGAGCCTGGCGTTGGCTTTGGCCTACGAGGGCACATGCTCACAACAGTGCGTCCAGGACTGGATACGGCCTGGGAGGACGCCCGTAGCCACTGCGCTGTGGAGTGCTGACATCCGCCTAAAGAAGTGCCAGCTCACACCCAAGCTGACAGGATTCTACGGGCCTGTACAAATGGAGAAGGAGCTCGGCCAGCAGGCGAGTCTGGTGCAGTCTGGGGAGACGGAGGCGCCTGACAAGCAGCCACACGTGGCGAGACCAAGTGGGGCGGCCGGCGCAAGGCTGAGTCTGAGTGCCAGGCTCGGTCCATTGGATGCACCTGTCGGCATATAGAGACCGCAACTGCTTCATACTGCGGTGATGGAGGTTCGTTGAACAGTTCGAGGAAAAAGCAAGGGTGACAGGGCCTTGGCTGGCTCCTTCGCCCTGGTCATCATTATCTCACGCAGTGACGGCATCTTTGGCGGCTACTCCACCCGTAGCGAAAGTGTTGATTTTGTCTGAGATCCTACTCTCCGCTTGCTGAGCCGGAGCCTGGGGCCTTGCAAGGGGGTCCCTGTGGAAAACTAACTTCCGTGCTGCCAGCATCATTCGAATTCACTTCTGATAAACTTCTGCAGGAAGCTGCTGCTGATGCGAGTTTCTTACTAAGGTTGGAAAAGCCATGTGCAGATGTGCAGGCGAACTGCCGAAAAAGGCTCGAGCCTGATGAAAGGAACTTGACATGCTTGCACTACAGCAGGTGATCCAAGAAATGTTCTCTATACTTCGAAGTCAATCCTCACCCTGACCCTCTCAGTCGGCATCATCAGTATCATCATCACCAGCATCATCATCATCATCGTGGGCAATAGGCCAGCAGACAAGCAGCAATCAACCAATCAATCTCGGCGGCAGAGAAAATCGTTTTCTGGTGCATTGACCTTGGCGACACGCGTCGGGGGCCGGCTTTGGGCGTGAAACGGACGGGCCTAGGATGTCAACCCCAAGGGCTTTTCACGTCGGCTCTGCGGTCACCGCGGTCCTGTCGGCGCCGTCGCAATATCCCACGTGACCCTTGAGATGCTGCTCGGTCCTAAACCCTGCCCGTGCACGTAGCCCGGCTCCTTCGTGTCCCATGGGGAACGAGGCATATGACCTTGCTGAGCTCCCATGCCCTGCGCGAGATCTGGAATTCAGGAACAGAAGGCATGCTACTGCGTGCACTGTGATACGCTCCACTATGCAATGACCTTCGACCGGCTAGGCTCTCTCCCCAAGACGACGCCAGGCTATACTCGCTCTTGCCTGTAGGAGCTTGCAAAGCTTCCTCGCCTACGGGGTTGCCGTTGGGGGTGCAAGCGCCCGCTGGGGCCGGGAACTCACCTGTCTTCATTAGCCTTCAGGATCCGAGCGAAGTAGTTGCCACGTGTTTCCACTTTGACACAGTGCCGCTTTCACTGAACCAACATCCGGAGCCTCTGGCACTGGAGAGGGCCATCGCTTTCAAGACAGTGGAGCACCGACTGGTTTTCCGACAGAGCGAAATGCCAATGCGCACCAAGCTCGACGGCGCTCAGTACCGTGTGTACACTAAACACGCACCGGCATTGCGACAGGCACCTCCGGTGCCGACAACATCCCGCGTCTGCTTTCACAAAGGCAAACCGGGAGACACATCTTAGGGACCAATGCCAGGGGGGCGTTTTAAAGCCCAGGGTCTGCTTTCTTCGCAAAGGTAGCCAAAGGTAGACACCAAAAAGACAGGCAGGAGACAAATGAATCCACAAGTCTTGGACTAGCGTCACACCATCCAGGGTCTGCTCGCTAGTGCCCACTTCTTCGGGGATCGGCTGCAGAAGGGTTTCGGATCAGAGGAGAATAGTTTCAACACTCGGTTTCGGCACGGCGGGAGTCAGTTTCGGGACGCGGGTCTGTCTGTTTCGGGGGGCGAGGTGGGCAGTGGCAGTCCGATTCTTGCAGGCCTGGGCCTCAAGCTGACCCTGGCGTGAGACCGAAACTGACAATGTCCTCATCCAACACTTTCAAGGACCATGTTGCGAAACTCCGCCCCGAAACGCAGCACCGAAACTAACCTCAAAAACCCCTGAAACTCACAACTTCCGCCTGCTCGCCACAAAGGGGAGACAACGGGGAGATAAACTGGAGATACATGAATGCATCTGTCCCAGACGATCCAGGGTTTGCTCACTTCATATCGCGACACAACTAGGAGACACAGGGGAGAAAAATGAATCCACCAGCCCTTAACAGCGGCCACAGCATTCATGATCTGCCTTCTGAGACAGCCGTAAGAGTACTGATGCCAAAAATCCAGATGAACTTCACGGAATATCGTACAGGCGAGAAAGTAATAATAACAATAACACATAAGAACAACGATGATATGATACTACTCATTGTAATGGTCCTAATAACAATAATACTAGCGATTAACTAACAATAACCATAAAAATGCATTAATACGAATCAATGACATTTTAATAACCAAATCGGTTAGATTATAACTAGAACTAGTAACAATAATAACAACTGTAGACAATTGTGACAGTGGTAGTACCAGCAGCAGCAAGAGATGGTTGTAGCAGTAGTAGCAGTAGTAGCAGTAGTGTAGGAGCAGTAGTGCAGTAGCAGCAGCACCAGCAGCAGTAGCAGCAGCAGTTGCAGTGGCAGCAGCAGTAGCAGTGGCAACGGCAGTGGCAGCGGCAGTAGGAGTAAGGAGGAGTAAGGGTGTGAGTGTGAGTGGGAGTCGGAACAGGAGTCGTAGTAGCAGTAGTAGTAGTGGTAGTAGTCGTAGTAGTAGTAGTAGTAGTAGCAGCAGGAGTAGTAGTAGTAGTAGTAGTCGTCGTCGTCGTCGTAGTAGAAGGAGCACTAGTAGTAGTAGTAGTAGTAGTAGTAGTAGTAGTAGTAGTAGTAGTAGTAGTAGTAATTAGTAGTAGTAGTAGCAGTGGTAGTAGTAGTAGTAGTAGTAGTAGCAGTAGTAGCGAAATATCGTGAATACGCTAACAGTAGCACTTGTTTTAGTACTGCTACTACTCGTTTTTGCTACTACTACTCCTGTCATCAATGTCACAGCATGTTCCCCTTCGGTACGGACAGCTAGTGAAAAACATCATCGCGGGTGCCTGGCGATGAGAGATACAGATCAAATGTGAAATGCCTTGACTATTTGGATTTCAGTCGTGCCTCTTCGTTTGGCCAAGTCCTCCGCTGAATTTTCGGTGGCAGTTTGCTTGGCTCATGTCAACCTGAGTCTCCAGCGACGCTGGGACAGGCCACCCTTGGGAGGAAGTGGCTTGCCTCAAATAGTCCGGCAGAATATGCTCCTGGCCCCCCCCCAAAAAAAAAGTGCCCGCCGTCGGGCTGTCAGGGCCGTACCAGCTCGAACCGTTCGAGTAGCCGTATGCGACCGGTCGCCCCTGCATTGCAACAGATTGCGCGAATGCACAAACACATCTACTCCGGGAACGGGTTGCCTCTATGATCTCGCCACCGTCATAGCTGAGGGCCTGCAACTATAAATGATTATTTCACACGGCAAAAATGCATGCTGCATGGGCGTGAACATGTTCAGTAAGCCTCCTGGGAGCTGGACAGGCTCGACCTGCCAGACGTATCCAGAGGCACACGGGCTCTTTTGTGGTAACGGATCGCGCCTTGATGATCTGTACTGGTGGGTCAATGCTAGTGGGCCAGCACCACCCTCGCCTGTCTGAGCACATCCATCCCGGCTTCAAGCTGAATCTTCGCAGAGTTCGAGCTCCGCGCCCTCGTTCCACTTGCTACACCTGACTGCAGCTTAGAAGCTCTCGCGCCTTGCCCTTCATAGAATTTGTCTTACTGCAACCCTCGAATAGTGTGACCAGTCGCCTGGCCCGGAGTGAGTCCACGAAGGTGTTTGCCGTCTCCTGTGCTTGTGAGGCGATCTCCTGCAGAGAAGTGCACATCTCCAGTTCTTGCGAGGTACGCTTTATCGGTAATCGACTTGCAAGAGAGATCACGAGGTCGCACAAGGCAGTCCCGACCCATCCGAGCGAGGGCTTGCGTGGTCGAGGGCTTCGTCAGTTCTTCACACACCTTGCTCGTCCAAGCTGGCATTCGGCGACGTTCCCATCTTGGAAGTGTTCAAGTTTCCGGCCTGTTGTAGCTCGTGTCGCAAAGTCCCTGCTGCCTGAGCTTTCGCAGACTCAAGTGCTGAGCATGGGGTTATTCGGCTTCCGGGCAATCGGGCCTGAAAAACAACTGTGTAGTATTGGCAAAGCTCCGCAACAACCTCGGCGAAGAGGCTGCAAGTCTATTTCAGTCGGTCGAAGCTGGCTAGAATGATGCTAGCTGGAACCTGTCCAATCTCTTGCCACCTGTTCGACAGAGCTTCGTTCACCTGTCGTCCTGAGGCAGCCATTGCTTTTCAAGGCACGTAGCGTGCTATGCATACACCGTCTGTCATCTCAGCATGCCTGTCTCGCTGGTGCGTGTTGCAAACTCCTGATCGCAAGGGGAGCAGTCGAGCAGCATCATCCTGGTGCAAGCTAGTTGTAGGCCTGCTGGCTGGTCCGCTTCTTCTCCTCGTTCCGGTTGAGCTTGTCCACGAGCGCAGACCTGGCACAACTTGCCAAAATGGTTTGAGAGTTCAGGGCAGATGCGGTGCGGCTTCTCCGAGCATGCCAGAGCAGCGAGGTTCCACTTTTGGCAATCTGATCACGAATCTTCTCCAACTTTTTGGTGTAGTGGTCCTGCAAGCGACACCACGAGTCGCATGCTCGAACCCCTCTAGCGAGCCCAGGCGAGGCACCTGACTTGTCCAAGCAGCATCCCGGGATGAGAATGACCTCTTGAAATTCTCACCCTTCTTTAAGAAGAGAAGGGTCCCTTTCCGACCAGAGTACGACGTCACGAGGGCCGAGCTGATGAACAGTCTTGTTTCGCTCCGACCTGAGCAAGGTTTCCATGACAGACAGCCCAGCAGTGTCGTCGTCACATAGGTTCCGACAGACCCCGAAGCTTCGTCTGCAATGCCTCGATCTCCGCATCGTGCTCCTTTGAGGATGTCCGAAACATGTTACGAGGCTGGGCGTTCTCGTACTTTCACGATTTGCAAACACATGCCTCTCCTGGACATGACTTGCGAAAGAGTCCATTTGAGCACAAAGTCTCTGAATGGCCGCACTGCCAGGCATTCCTTGACCTCGGAGAACTTCCAGGCAACCAAGGACTAAAGGACTGCTTAAGAAGGGGCCGGGGCTGTAGAACCGGCTGAGCGGGTCAAACAACGGCTTCGGCGCAGCAGCAAGCCTTGCGGTATGACAGCAAGCCACCGCGCCTTGCTTTACCAAGCTACGCCTTGCGAAACCGGTCGGGTAAGTCGGAGACATATCGACAGAGGTGGACAGGGTGCTGGCCTCGGCTGCAGATTCTCAGAGTGCGCAGAGCTCACATCACCAGCTCAAGGCCGTCCTGTAATAAGGCCAACGCGCAAGTGCCCAGGATGGAGATCAAGGCATCCAGCTCCACGAGCTCGGCACGCTGGTCCTCTTACTGGAGCAGTGTCCAAAAGCCCAAGGCCCGAGGCCGCCAGGCGGCCCCTGCCTCCAGAGGATCATGAGGCATCTTGGCAGGACCGGTCATCGCTTCCCTGGCTCTCCTGTCAGACAGTCAGACACAGGCACGGCTCCTCTGGAACATGTAGCAACGTAGCAAGGACATCCGCACCTGAAGGCTCCGGGCATCGAGAAGGTCGACCATTTCTCCGACATGGTCCTGTGCCAACGCAGGCAAAGGGGACAGCCCCGACAGCTCTAGGAGAGCGGTCCCCAGTATGCCTTGTCGCACTCCTTCGGAAATCGGTAGCCTTTTCCAGAAGAGCCATGGCTGGCGCATTCCAGTGACGAGGCCACGAGGTTTCTCGGCTCTCGAGGCGAAGCAAACAAAAGTGGGCTCGTACTTCAGGCTCTTCGTTGACGGCTGACGCTGCGGTGCACGATCCCGAAGCTTCGTACGTCGGTTTGAAGGTTCAAAGCTCCCAAGTCGGACGGTGCTTTTAGCTTCCGCAATTCACGGTTGTTCTTCTAGCAAGCCTAAGTGGCTGAGTCATGCACAGTCACAGTGTGAGGCCAACTTTTGGAGCTGACCGAGCCGTAGAAACCAAACCAACCCTTGGAGGGGCGAAGCTTTTTCTTGGAGGGGCGAAGCTTTTTCTTGCGTGGTGAGACCGTGGCCGTTTCTGAAGCACGCCTAATTGCCCAGAAGGTCGAAATCGTCGACCTGCCGCAAAGCTGATCAAGCCTTTTACCGATGGAGACATCACAACCAGGTGTGCCTCATTGCTAAACTCTTTGATGTGGCGTCTCATCTTGGACCCCTCGGCCCAGGTAATGTGATCCTCGAAGCACAGCTTGCAGATGATGGACTTGCATCGCATCTTCAGCTTTTCCCCAAAACTCCTCCATTTCTCGGGTCACATGAAGCGCTGGATTGGTGGCCAAGTCCGGGCCAATTCGCACTTCACCCTGTGGCAGCATGCAAGCCGTTGTGTTCCCACACTTCTCAACAGATGGCGCTGTCCCGGAGCCCTGGCCTGCTTGATGTACGTGATCGCTTGAGGTAGGTTCTCGCACAATCTGGCATAGCGGGATAAGAATACCAGGTCGACACGAACATCGTGCAGAAACACACGGAGAGTTATCATCCAACCAAACCAGGAAAGCTAGATTCTTGCCGAGCGGCTTCATCTTCACGAGCACTACAGGAAGGCGCCGTCTACAGAATCTGGAGGTGTGCAGGTCCACACAGTCCTCCACGGATAAAGCAGCACTGATGAAGAGCCTTTTCTATCTGCCCTCCGTCCTCCAGGCTCTGCTTGTTCTGTATCAGAGCCAGCGAATAGAGCTTGTCCAGCAAGATTTCCGTCATCTTGATTCGATCTTCGTCAGAAGCCTACATGCAAGTGAAGCAACATGCTAAAGCTTCAACAGAGGCGATTTTGCGAAGTGCTACTGATTTTTCGCTGTGCGCCGAACCTTGATTTTCCGCAGCTTCGCCACCACCTTCGTGACCAGACCTGCCAGCTTGTGGTACCTGGCTCAAGTTCAAGTGGCGGAATCACAGTCTGGTCGGTGTACGAACACTGCCCTAACACTGCGAGGGAGGTGCTTGGTGAAGTCTTCGCGGTTCTCTATCTGATATTTTTGAAGCAAGGCCGACTCTCGCACCTGGGAGTGGAGCCAGAACGAACCCGTCGGACGGAGGTGTGCTGCAGTTCTGGGCCGGGCACATTGTCGGTTGACTTCCAATCGTAGAAGTTGACCTCAAGAAGCCATGACAGCCGCCTAGCCCTCTTTGCCCCCGCGGCGAGTCAGATATACCCAGCACCTTCTTGAGCAACTTCTGCTCGTGGAATTTCAGCTTTCTCATTGCGCTTTGCTGCAGTGGATTGCTGAGTGTCACTGGCAACAGGCATAGCCATAGCTATGGATGGCATGCTGCGGCTATGTCTGGATCCAACTGCTGTTGAAGATCATGCTCGAAGCAGCTTGGAGATGATGTCTCGTGGCATGGATCTTGAAGTCTTCAGTCATGCGGGGTTGATGCTATGGGTGCTCTGCCTACTCAAGCGGGGCGGCCAGGTGGCCAATCGAAGGGGACGAACAGTGCTTTTCCTTGCGATTCCACAGCAGGCTCTGGCAGCCGATCGTACCTCTAAGACCTAGGATCCTCTAGGCACACTGTACATGGCTGCATCTCAGCAGAACTCTGGCAGCTCGCAAAGAGGAAGCCGGCGTGCGCAGACTTTGGTGCTAAAGAACGTTGCAGCAGATTCCCACTCTCAACGTCAGATCAATGAAAACGAGTTTGAGCACAGATGTGATTCAAACCTGGGCGTGACATCGGCGAGCCGAGCAGCATCAACCTTGAGCTGAGGACCCGGCGCTGGGCATGGTCCCGCCTTAAGCGGAAGCATTCTCAGCGCAGCAGCGTCGGCCAGGATGCAAAAAGTTGTAAGTGCGGGCAGGGTAGCTTGTGGCTTTGCGTCCGGCAAGAGCGGCCATACCAGCAGTTTCTGCGTCCTTGGAACTTAGGATCTGTGCTGTTCAATCCAATCTGAGTGAGGTTCATGCTGTGCGGTAAACGCTCTCTGGGTGCTCTGAGTGCCATGGCCCCGTGCTCTCTCCGGAAGCTCCTGCGGAGTGGCTGAGCTTCACTCTCGTCCGAATCCTTTGCCGAAACGATGGGTCCTCGTTCTGGATTCGCTCCCGGATGGAGTAGACCTCGCAGGTTGAAAGGATGTCATGGTTTTGGACCTGATTGGAAGGCTCTCTGAGAAGGTGGCGACGCTGCGCAAAACCACTTGACTGCAGAAGCGTGCCAGAGAGGAGCGAAAGAAAGTCGTCCGAGACGAGCCCTGAGTTAGCTAAAAGTCGGTGGCCTGCACGGCTGGCACATCGCCAGTTCGGTCCAGGCCTTGTGATGTCACTTGTAGAGCGCACAAAAAAGCAAAGAGGACCAAGTGATGCTATCGCAAGCCTAAGTGCATCGCACCAACAGGCAGGTGCACGAGTGCTCCGGCGGGCCCTCCTGACTCTGTAGCTTGATACATGAAAAGGCAATGCAGGCTGAATCAGACCGATCACATGCGAATTCGGATAAGGTTCCTTACTTCTGCAGTGATGTCTCCAAGGTGCGCCTCCGTGATTCGATTCTTCCCAAGCTTCTCCATTGTCATGTGCAGGGCTTGCGAATGCGAACAAAGACGTAAGGCATAGTTCAGCTCTGGCACAACCCCTACTTACAACTTACACTCCTAGGACTGTCTGGTGCATCTCCTCCGGGGACCGGCGCGCTGCGCACTTCGACCGCAGAAACACCTTCCTCACTGTTACGAGTACTGCACTTGTTTGTGACTTCCCTTCGCGACCCGGAGATTCGGCGCCGCACTGGGTTGGGGTTTTCGAGAACGCTTTGCATCGCCTCCAGGAACAGTGCAATGCTTCACACGCCTTGCACATGTGGCGCAAAGCTTTGCCTGTTGAAGGCTCATCCCTTTGCTGTGGAGCCATTCCTGATCAGCTTTGACAGAACATGCAGCATGGTCATGGTTCATGCTGCAGAGCTGTTGCCTGCAAGATCTCCTGCTCGAAGGCGTTGCTGGCCTAGGAAGGCCACTGCAGCAGCCAACCACGGCACCACAGTGGCGAAAAAACAAGTTACGCACCAGTGCTGACTTCATCAGCGCCGCGGCCTGTTGAGGCGGTTGGCTAGTGCCGATCTTGCCGTGGCTGCTGCTGCGAGATCAGATCTCGTCGCGCTGGGGCACAGACCGGAAGGGGTGAAGAGGTGGTGAGGTCCACAGCCGCACCTCGAAAACCGTGCTTGTTGCTGTCAAAGGGACACTGACACAGACCGGCTCAGCATGGCTCAGCAAGCGGCGCAGCGGCTGCCATGCTGGGATGCCACAATGGACGCAGGCAGGTCGCAGAGCCTCGGTCTCAGGCCCGAGCGTAAGGGCAACAGCCCGGGATCGGGATCTGCAAAGCTCGTAACTTCGACTCGTCACAGCGAACCGAGGCCGCGGGCTCCCGGCGCAGTCCAGCCATGTGCCTCCTCGCAACAGGAACGCTTGATGCCATCCACTTTGCTCCGTGAGCTCCTATCTAACATTCCCATGAAGTACTACAAATGCACATTCCGGAAGATCAACCATCGGAGGCCTGAAATGTGCTGCGGCAGGCACGCAGCGACGAGACACACCTATTGCAGGTTCACTGAGCACCCTGCCTCCTCCTCCTCGTCCTCCGAATATGACTCGTGCTCATGCCTAGGTGCAGCCAGATGATGTTGTGAAGCTTCGGGCTTTTCCGACTGAGCTCTTGTCTCAGAATCCTCTGCGTCCATTGCTTCTGCAGCAGCTGCTGCAGCCACTACCATGCGTGCCATGCCTTCAGGAGTGGGCGATGCAAAAGAGTAGAAGGCCGACGGCAGCTGATTGCACAAGAAGGCACGATGAGCTCCACTCTGCGCCTGCAGCAACATCACCAGGCCCACGAAGCTTCAGCAGGTCGTAGCCGCAGTCCTTGGTAACGTGACACAGAAGCATGAAGCGTGTTGCTGAGCAGACCTGTTGCATGCGATGCTCGTGTAGCGGATCGCGACTGTCCAGATCAGAGATTGTTGCGATTGAGCGCTGTCGATCAGGATGTGCCTGAAACATGAACCCTGTTTCGTCATACAAGCAAGACAGCTGAGCAAGCAGCCTTCAGCAGACCCTCGATCATGCTGCCAAGCGCGTGGTTCTTGCCAACTCCGGCGACCCCTTGTCGGCAGATTGGACACCTGCTTGCGGCGTGCATATGTGTGTATGCATGCATGCAGGCATGCATGCATGCATAAATACATGTATGTTTGTACATGTGTGTGTGTGTGTGCGCGAATGCATGATCCACGGCTGCAGTGCCAAATCCCACACAATACATCGTATGGTCTCGCACCTGCGACGGGTTCCCGTACGTATGTACCATGACATCGACATCCGCACCTCGTCCCCACCGTTGTGGTTTGGGTGGCGGGTTGTGCTTCGGTGCGCGATGCCCCATAGCACAACCAGTCTGTGTATTCCTTTGCGCAATGCGAGATTGTGTCTACGAAAGATTCTCGCCCCGTGCATCTATCTGCAACGCAAGACTTAGATCATCTATATCCCAATGCTGCAATACTCAGGCATTTTACCCGAGACATGCTCCCCAAAATGATCCAACCAAGGCATGTACATTCAACACACGGTGTGTCGTGGGACAAGAAGAACTTGACATCCTATGGATACTGCATACACATGTATACACATGTCTACACGCTACACGCGCATAGCGTCATAGCATGTGTCTGCCGTGCGCGACGCTGCCAGTCAGCCTTAACCAACAGGACCCGAAGTCTGCCTGGGAATTCTGTCACCGGGCCGCTTCAACCAGCCACCCAGGCAGGAGCTGCAGAAGCCTGCCACTCTCTTCCCATTTCGAAACCCCTTGAGTTGCACACTTGAAACTTGCCCGGCAGCACTGTGCATGCATGGCTGTACCTTCGGCGTCAAGGTACACAGTTAACCACACCCCAAACCTTGCTAGAAGCAGAACTGCCAAATCTCGGGTCCGCGCACTGGTGGCACGGTGCATCACCTGTCAAGTGTCAGGTAGAAAGCAAGGAGCCTTTCCCGGCAACCAGAGAAGATTCAAAATCAGAAACAGAAGTCGGATGCAGTGGACCTCTTGGCAGATTGCACACATCGCGCCCTCAAAGATGGCCTCGCTATTCGCTGCGTATTTTTCCATCACGGATGCTTGCAATAATGCACCCGTTCTACTCCTAAGCCAGAAACGTCACCACCCGTGCCGCTGGCTGAGTCGCCTGCTGTTCTCAAAGCACGTGCATGATTTAACTGGTGTGACCACAGAGCGGGCCTTCTAATCGAATCTTTTTCTTCGCTGGGCCTTCCGGCACCTCGGCTCCGGCGTCCATTCGATGCAGCTCGAAAATGTCAAAGCGCATCTCTGGGCTTCGCCACATCAGCATCTGGAGAATGGAACAAAAACGCGATAGCTGCAGCTTGCCCAACCTCACGTGTCAAGGAAGTTCGAATGATGGATACAGAGTAGCTAACTGAACTGATCCGCGCTTTCTTCAGATTCACAAGGGTAGTCGCGGAGGTAGATGAAGGAGCCAGATATACCAGTGTTCGGGCGTTGATGCAAGCTAAGCCTTATTCAACGGCAACATGCACATTGGCAGATTGGTGCGAGCTGCTGGCATTTACGGATGTTGCCACAGTGAATGGATGCGCCGGGCACATGTGGGCACATGGATGTAAGCCCTTTAGCAACCTCCTAAAACAAGAAGGTATCCTGGAAAAATGCCGATAACGAACGTTGGCAAAGAGGAAACGCTTCCACATGACTTGGAGCTCGCGGGCTTGCCTTCGAAGCTGGAAGCACCTCCACCAAATCCTTCAAAGGTTCACGAGCTACAAAGACATGTCAATTTGAGTTGATAGCCAACTCTGCGCTTCACGGCAGCAGTGAACCCGGTCCTGATCCTTCAAGGCAATCCTGACCTGAGCTCGGGAGTAAACCGCATCTCCCACAGAGTGTCTAACAGAGTCTAACTCGGTACTAGTATGATGCGTCTGTTGCCAGCAAGGTGAGTGATGGTCGTTTTAAGAGCAGCTGAGCTGCTCCCCGGACCAGCTTCTTGTTCACCAGAGTACCGTTCCTAGAGCAGTCCTCTCGCAGCCGCAAGCGACGTTGAGAGGAGTGAAATGTGGAGACTCTGGACACTGATGGCTGTCATAGCTCTCATCTGCTCTCTGAACTCCTCCAGTTCGTAGCTCCAGGGCGGCCCGGGAGCTCCAAGAGTCTTCCGGTGGACTCGAAACTGTTCGCTCGAGACTCGCCTTGGCAGAGACGCAGCCGACGCGTTGGGCCTGGGCCTCTGGGGCCTCTGGGCCTGGGCGCCGGACGGATCCGTCAAGGTCGCGAAGTTGGACTCGTCCCTGCCTGCAGGCCGTGAACTCATGAGGCGCAAGCTCTGCCCGGTGACAAATGCCCCTACAAGTAGCCCGAAGGCCTACGGACAAGCAGTCGCACTTCAGCCTCAGAGAAGCGTTGTAGGCGGAAGAGCAAAAAGCTTTTCAGCCAAGCCCATGGCACAATGTCTGTGGCGGTGGCAAAATTCACCGACGACAACACCTGAAGCCACTTGCAACTCCAACTCCATGACAACTTCGTCTCAGCAGCCGGTTTAAGCTAGGCACCCCTGTGTGCTCGTCGGACACGGGACCTGGAAGTGCTCCAAGCTCTCAAAGAACACAGCGCGGTTGCAGGTCTGCCCATGCCTGCTTGCATGTCCGTGTCCATTACGTCCAAGTTCAAGTCCAGAGTCTGCGTGGCAGCTCTTTTCACACCTCGATGACGCCACAAGGCGTCGATACCAGTACGGCGCAAGCGCTCTTAGAGGCCTCGCCTGTAATTTCAGGCACCGCAACGGCGGTCGCTGCGGCAGCAGCCACCGCAGCGGCGGTCACCGCAGCGGCGGTCGCCGCAGCGTCTGATGGTTCCGAGGACGGCATCGCTTCCTCGGCCATGTCCTTGGCTCAAGGACTGCGAGACGAGCCGGCAGCTGCAGGGAATAGTCAGCTCCGGGCCAAAACACTCTCACCAGGTGTTGCACCTGGCACCGTGTCTGCTGACCTTGCTTCTTCGCGCGCAATGCGTCATGAGCAGTATTGTGAATGAGTATTGTCCCTGCTCAATGACAAGGCATGCTCAGGAAAGACTTCGAATACACGGCTCTACGCTCCTAGTCTCTCTGACTGGGGATGCTTCTCTGTTGCTTCTGCCGAGGCGTCTCCGAGCAAGTCCAATAGGCCATCATCCACCTGGACAGCTGAGCTGCGAATGCCCGGACAGGTCAAATCAGCATACAGGCGCAGATGCATGAGAAATTGACTGTTGACAGACAAAGGAAGAAACAACAACCGTCTCAATGACCGAAACATCTGATCGCCATGTGTCACGTCGCGGTTCCTAGACCGAAACAGTATCTGCTTGAGTTGAGAAGATGGAAAGCTGCACTCATCACCGTCAACGCTTTTTGTATCATCACCAACGATCGCAAAGGCTTTTGCTACGACGTCGGCCTTCCCTTCCTCCTCGGCATCGCCTCACAGAGCAGGCTGAGCAGACTAAACTTCGGGCAGCGCTGAGCTGAGCTGCTGGGCCTTCTGCCAGGTGCGCACCCAGCACCAGGGTCTCTGCCTGCCACCAGAAGCAAGACGTCACAGGGCCACGCTTCAGATTTCAGCCCGAGGAGCATCATCGAAGTTCTCCCCCATCCTGCGAAAGGGGGGACGAAACGAAGCAGCATCTCGGTCTCAGGCTGATTACTTGCACGGCCTCGGCGATGCCTCGCTGCTTGGCAGCGGAAAGACCTACCGGCCTATCTGAGTCTCTGCAGAGGCGACGCAGGGAAGAAGGCTGCGTCTTTCGCAAGACAACACGGTAAACACTTCTTCACTGACCTGCGGCCCAGGATGACCTGAGGCCCAAATTGCAGCCTTTTCCCACCCGTGCTCGGCCATTCGCGCGGCTTGCAGCTCACGGCCGCCGAGACTTAGCAGGTGCTGGCGGCTACCTCCTGCACGGCAGCCAAGGGGAGTTGGGAAACCTTTGACCTCTTCCGGCTCTTGGAATCGCATTGCATCGCTTCAGGCATAAAAAACCCAGCCGCTCGTGGAGCATGCAGAATCGGCAGTCCTCTTCTTGCCCTTGCCTGTTCAAAGACGCTGTCTGAGCTACTCGGCGCGCTCGCCTCACCACTACAGCCCGGGCCTTTGCCCTTGCCTTTTCCTCTGCCCTTGCCGCCCTTGCCCCTGCCTCTTCCCTGCCATGGGCCCATCGCTTGAGGTCGAAATTGAAGTCTTTTCCGGGGCTCGAAAAAGCCGAAACTACCAAGCTCCTGACCCACGGAGACGCGGACATGTCATGAGTGGAGCTCTTGTCATTCTGCTTGCTTCGCTTCCTTGGTGTGCCACGAAGTTGGCAGTCAACACTGCTGTCTGGAGCGCCGCTGTTAGGCAGAAATAAAACACGGCCTCTCAAGCGACCAAGCAGTATCCTACTTGAGGGCACGGCTTCTTTCCACCGAAACCGTACTTTTCATCGAGGTTGCGGCGCTTGGCCGACTTCATGGCCTGATCAGAAACATACACGACCATGCTGCCACCGCAAAACCGCGAGTTCTGTTCAATCCAGCCTTGCCCTTGCCTTTGCCCTGCCTGCGATGTCATGGCACAAAGTGGCCCTGTTTCGGCTCCCTCTCTCGACTTGTCTCTGCCAAGCTGCCCATCTTGGTCTCTCTTTTTCCCTTGTCGACTTAGAATCTCCTCCAAGTCCTGGAGCCACGACACGCACAGTTCCAAGCCGCAACAAGAGAATACTGCCATGTGCAGATGCCTGACACAGCGACACCGACATGCCTGATCGTCTTTGTTGTTTCCTTCGCTCTTCTTCCGTGCCCGCCAGTTGGCGATCTCTTCCAGGGACGTCCTCTTCTCCTCCCATGCTGGAAAGGCTTTCAGAGATCACCAGAAACTGCAACAAGGCAGAGCTCGCCGGGCCACCAGGCAGCCAGGCCTGCGCCCGGGCTTCCAGTTTCTTGGCTTTTGCCTCGCGCCCAGCAGAGTGTACATTCATGGCAGAAGGACTGCTAAATGATATGTTTTCAATGGCAGCCTTCTTGGCAAACTTCTTGCTCGCTTGTTGCTTTTTTCTGTCTTCGACAATCTGCAGGGCAAGGTTCATCTCACAATACTTTGATATAGAAGATCCTCAGCAGCATCTCGCCTTGATTCGTCGCTCCTCCTCTGCCGCCTGTTGGCGAACTCGGTACATCTGCTTGTCAGGCCTCTGCTGAAACAGAGCGCGATCCGGCGAGCACTGCCAAACTGAGACCGTTCAGGGCTCGCACCGCATCATCTCGGCATAGAAGTCATTTGGTCTCGTACAGGGGATCTTCATGACTCGCAACCTGACAGAGCTACGAGAAAACCTAGCACAGCCGTGCTTTCAGACACTTCGCGGCAGGCCGAGCAGGCTGTGAACCCTCGCAACAGGCCTGCGGTAGCCTTCGGCAGCTGCTTCTGCAGCCATGCCTGCCGCCCGAGAACTCTACCTCTCTGCCGCTAAACTACCCGTACCCCTACAAGTTCCTAGGCAAGCCGAATACAGGGGACTGTTTCTAGGCAAGCCGAAGACGGGGGGCACCAGATTGTGGCCAAAAGCACACAGCTTGTCGAAGCAATTCCGAACTACTACAGTACAGGGGTGCCCACACTGCCCATTGCATCGCCTAGGAAGGCACTTTCCAGTTTCACGCCATCTTTGGCAGTGACCTTGATCACCAAACACTTGCAGTCGGTTCGACTCGCATGCAATGCAAATTGCAGAAAGCCTGCGGCAGAGCGATCACTACCATCCAAAGCCGCACTAAGTGCTTGACCCCTTTCGGCAGGTTGTTCTGTCCATCTATGGCCATGGTGTCCTCAAAAAACAGTCCTCTGCAACTACTTTGTCTTTGGCAAGTGTCCAGGGTGCCGGCGATCCAAGGGACGCGCTTCGCACCCTCGGGCACCTCTGTAAGGCAAAGGCTTTCGTTGACATTGCTCTTGGGCTCTATTTGCTGTTTCAAGTGCAATTCCACTGTTCCTGCTACAGTACTGCCTACTTGCTCTACAATAAGCAGTCGAAAGTCGAACTCGAATGAGCTTCACGACGCTCGTTGGCTTGGGTGCTGATTCTGAAGATAAAGATGCAGAGATGAGAATGAGGATGAAGAAGATGACGATGATGAACATGATGAACCTGATGAAGAAGACGAAGACGAAGAGGAGGAGGAGGAGGAGGAGGAGGAGGAGGAGGAGGAGGACGAGCGCTCGAGTCTTCCGCTCTTCTCCCCCGCCTTGTATTCTATTTCGCTCAGCCGCTGCAAAAGCAGCGGTGCCAGGCAAACACCTCGCTTTGCGGTGTCCTGACGGCTCAGGACATGGAGCTCAGGACCCAGAAATGGGAAGCTTCAGAAGAAGGGGACCCCAACATGAAGCTCCGAGCACCACCACAACAAAGGAAATCCCTCACTCTTCGGAAACACCGGGAGAGCCTGCACCTCTGCAGATTCATCCTGACGGGAGGAAACAGCGGCGACGGTTTAGGGTTCAGGGTTTAAGGGTTTAGGGTTAGCACGCAGCAGCGACAGCGGTTGCAGCTGCGGGGCCTGGGTCGGCTTCGGCTCCTCGCCGAGGATGAACTCCCCCGCTCTGAGCTTGGATCTGGACGCGAGCGGGACGTTTGCCATCAGAGGCACTGGAGTGCCCTGCCGGCGCTGCCTCGCCAATGCCTCGATGTCCGCTTCCTCGACATCGGAATCTGCAAGCCTCGGCACATCACATCCCTAAACGACGAAGGGGGGGCCCCTTGCTGTTTTCCGGGTGCCGAGCTCCGGCCCGCCGACAGGAGCCTCAGGCTTTTCCTCGCGCGAACATTCGCCTTCCTGCCTTTCCCCCCCTCCCTGATATCGGAAGCGAAAGCGCTCCCTGCGAGGCTTCCCGCGGCCCATGGGCCCCACTCCTGCACGGGAGGAAACGGCTCTTTGCTCCAGGCTTGGCCTCCTCCTCCCTCCCGGGTCTCCCCCTCGGCGCCTTCGATGCCCAAACGGGGATCACAACATCTTGCACAACTTGCACAGTGGCCGTGTCTGCTGGATGCGTGGTCTACCAAGTCCGACTGCGGTGATCTATCCCTTGCAGCTTGGAATCGAAAGTGTTCGTCTGTGAGCCAATTCGAAGACAGGAGGACAAGCACTAGGCAAGCCCAAAACGGGCATTGAAGCAGTGCAAAGAATGTCGCATTCCTCTTCACTGGTTTTGCCCTCAAATCCAAACGCACACGCAGTGCTCGAATGCTCGACCGGCAGGAAGCACTCCAGGTCCAAGAGTGTCCCACACAGAGAGTGCTAGTGTTCATAGCAGCTCGGTCCCCAGGTCTAGCTAGGTCAACTGGGCCGAAGTGCATCTCAGCACCTTCGCTCCCGAACGGCCACGGAACTGGGGGTCTCCCTCCTGGCGCGCGCGCACACGCGCGCGCGTGCGCGCGCGTGCTCGGAGAGGATTGGATTTGTGGACGGCTGACACAGGCCTGTCTCGAATCGGTTGGCGTGTCCTTCCTACCTAGCTTTACCCTTCAGCCACTTCAGAAGGAAATTCACCGCACCGGCGATCCTTGGCAAATGCGTATTGCAGTCTGGTCAGCAGCTGTCACGCGAACACAGCAGGATTCTCAGTGTCCGTCAAAGGTGCAAGAAGGACAATGGCCAGAAACTCAGGTTCACCAGGCTTGCAGAGGAGTTCAAGTTCGAGCTTCGCAAAGTTTCGTGAGGAGTGGGCCAACAAGGGTTCGGCCATGCCTGCCATTGCCTGAACTACCGCTTCTTTCCGGAAACTCCTATCCGATCCTCCCCGAAGATGGTGATATGCTTGCCTCGCGCATTTGTCGCCGTGCCCTTTTGTAGAACCTTCGTGCGGAAGCCTGTGTTGCACATTGCGGCTCAATCTCTGCAGCTGCGCACCAGAAGATCCACAAAGCCTTCAGTTTGTCAGTACCCGTTGTCATCATTCCTCGCCACCTTATCACTCCGAGGCACTGTCTCCGTCAGTGACATGCGCAGACATGGGTCCCAAGCTTGCTGTGAGAGTCGCTGCTCTGTTTACGGGCAGCTGCCTCGCCGAGAAAGCACGAGTGCCGGAACATTTGCTTCGGGCGAGTACAACATGGACCTTGCACTCCTCCAGTGCATTTCGAATCTCGCGATCGTCTGGCATGATCCTGTTCAAGCTCATCTGTCGCTTCACAGTGGCAAGAGTGGTCATGCAAGTGGTTCTGCTGGTACACGCATCCTGCGCAGTCCGAACCGACCGTGCAACAACTGGAGCCTCGCTGCACCGATGAAGTCTGCAGAAGCATCTTCGAAGTCTTTCGCTTGGCCTCAGAACTCATGGCTACATCTTGCACGTCTGCCCACAATGTCGTAAACTTGGTTCCATGCATCTTCCAAGACCTGGTGCAGGTCAAAGGCAAAAAGCGTTTCGGTAATGTCGCACAGTCAGGTGGCATCAGCGGACTACGCACAGGGACCTCGGCGGAATAGAAGCTTCGCCCGCATGGGAGCTGGGGCGCCAGGCTTCCTGACATCATGGCGTGACAGGAACTCATGCAACCACTTTCCTGCAATGCGCAGACGAAGAATCTGCCTGTCACAATAGGTGAGTCCCAAGGTGGCCGCCCGGACGGAGTTGTGCGAGTCGTTGCGCTTCAAGAAGATGTAACTATCACGCAGCACATGTCAGCAATGAATGCAATAACGAAGCCCATGTTTGCCCCGAAGCCTCAGGTTGCTCAGGAGAGGGAGAATTGCATCCGATGCCTCGCTTAAGCGCAACGTACTCCGTCGTTGCTCAAAGACGCTCAAAGCCTCCGTCTTCTCGTCTTCAGAGTGCAGCACTGACTGACCCTCGCCGGCGAGATGTTTGGCTGCAAAAGGCATTTACTCGGGCTCGCACGACCTTGTTGAAATCCAGGCAGTGCAGGCTGCAAAGCGCGAGCATCCTGAGACCGCAAAGGCTGGCGATGAAGTGCTGGAGGGATCGCGAAGCTGAGCATCCCCGCATGGCTTCCCGAATGTCCGCTTCCTTGACGCGCTCATTGCTGGCCTCACGCAGGCCTGGCACGAGCAAGGACCAAGGAACTGGATCGATCCAAACCCCCAACAGAGCGAAGCATGACCGGGCGGCTTTTGGAGAGAGCCACCCGTTCGGAAAAAACCTGACCAGAGCAGTCAAGGCTCAGCTCACCGAAACATGCCGCCTCCTGGCCTCCGGACGCTTGTAACCCTTTTCTTCAAACCATGAAAGCACCTGCCCGCATCTGCCTGCCTTGCACATGGAAAACAAGACGGCTACCTTCCTGCCTCCTTGCATTCATCCTCCAGGCAGAAATGGCACAGAAGCTTCTCCTCGTCAATGTCCCAGACCTAAACTTCCAGGAACAACTTCACAATGCAGCGTATTTATGCGGGAAGACTGCACCGCAGCAGAAACGTGTGAACTCGAGCCGATTCCCTGAGGTAACATGTTCCTGGTTTACATCTATTTTCCAGGGGAAAGTGCACTGCAGCCGAAACGTGTGAATTCCGCCTGCGTGTGGCTCATCTCGACGGCGGATCATTGGCTCTGCGTGCTTGCTAGAGGCACTCACTCTCCACTAAGGCGAAGCTAATAGCTGATATGCCCGTGACTTCCTGTAACAAAGGCAAATGCAAAGGCAACGTAGGGATCCCGTCGGAAGGTAACCAGGCTCCGAAGCGAAACGACCTACGCTCACGTTCTGACAAAACGAATGGCCTTACCAAATCAGGAAAGGCTGAAAGGCTTGAGCCGAAAGCGTCCACGGAGCGTCTCATGAGCAGGGACATGAACAGACGAAGCCCCAACTTAGCGAAGTTTTTCACAATCACAGAAAGACATGTCGAAGCTTCCTTCTAGGACCGGAGGGCATCCTGCTTTGCAGGAGAGCGCAGGTCCCAAGCCCTGGAGTTCTTCTGGCAGAACTGAGAGGACTCAGAATCTCGGATAGAGTCGTCGCGATCTGGGAGGAGATCTCAGATCTGGTTCTGCTCGGCCGGCGGATCGATGGAAATTCGAGGGCTCTCGAATACACGGTGGCGGTTCAGCCGCCTCTTCCCTTTCCTCCACCTTTCCCCTTGCTCTTGCCCTTGCCTTTGCCCTTTCCCTTGCCTCCTTTGCCTTTACCTTTACCCTTCCCTTTCTTTTTGCCTGCAGCTTCTTCCTCCTTTGGAGTAGCTTTGACCTTGACGGTTCGTCCGTCTATCTCCTCGGAAGGCATCAGCTGGTCTGTAGCCACATGTTTTAGACTCAAAATGTTTCGGAAATCTCGGAAACGACAGAAGAACACGGCCGAGTCCTTGCCCTCCATTCCTTGGATGGCCGCTTCCATCTCTTCCGCTGAGGAGAAGGAAACGTCGGCTCGCCGAGGAGCTCCTCGCACCCATCTTCTTACGGTCACCACCTCCCCGAACTTCGCACAAGCCTGACACATCACGGCCAATGGAGGGACACAAACTGACCACCGAGCCATTTCGTCCGTGCCTGCCTTGCGCAAAGCCTTTCGCTTTGTTTCGAAGCTGAGCCCACCGATGGACACCGAAAACTCCGTTGGCTCTCCCTCATCGTTGCACATGCACATTACAATGCCTTGCAGAAAAAAGGAAAGCCGCTCGGTGGCGGACTTCATCGTTGTCGAGAGCAGGGTCCTCGATCAAAGCAAGAAAGAGACGGGTAACGATTTCTGCCTCTTTTTACGGGGCGAAGGTGGGGGCTCCTCATACTCGGGCGGCTCAGTCTGAAGCTTCTTCGTCGGCTGCTCCTCCATGCACGGAATCGAGCTGATTCATTGATCGAACCGCTCCCGAATTCTTCTTCTATCGTGACGTGACGTTTCGTTGGCCTCCTCATCTACCTCTTCTTCCGCACACTCTTTCGACCGCTTCCCCATAGCTCAGACACAGCAAATCAATGCAAGCTTGATGCACAACGCAGCGGTGCAAAGATGTGCAAAGCTGATCACTGAACTACTGTACAAGCAAAACGCACTGACTTCCTCTTCTTCCTCCTGTCACTGTCCCTGTACGCAGACTTTTGTTAAGCGCGGCGTCTTGCACACTCACTAGAATCTTGATGCTGCTGAACCAGTGCCCAGCACCCAGCAGAAGCACGAGCATGCCGGAGCCCTCACATCCAATCGTCAACGAGCTCAAGGTCAGAGGCAGTTTGCACACCTGTGATGCCCTGTAGAGTTGGATGACTTGTGAGCCTTTATGGTGAGGTGGTGACCCAAGAGGAAGCTGGGGCAGTTGTCTTGATAGGGGCTTCGGGCGGCGCATGGCAGCGCGGCATCCACATCGTGAGGGTCCCAGTGTCGCAACAGTGTGCCACCCGGACAACCAAGGTTCTGTCTCGCTTGCAATAGCGTCAATAGCGACGGCAGAGGCCTTACCTTGCCGGAATGATCGGGCAATCGACGTCGCGGCATCCATGTCGTTGATGCAAATTTGTATGAACGGATCGTAAGCTTAAGATCCCACGTGCCCCACGGATCGACGCTTCTTCCGCTTCTCTGCTCGAACCAGGTCCCACAACCCATTGCTCGGGGCTGGTGCTGGAAGGTCCTGGACCTGGCTTGGCATCTCCGCCACAACGGACCTCCCCAAGGAGTTTGCCCACGCTTTTCGCTGAGCACGCTCTTGCTCCAGTGACTCCAGTAATTCGGCCTCTACTTGGCTCGCTTGGCTGGCTTGGCTGTCTCCCGGCTCCTCAGGTTCTCTGGCAGGCCTGGCACGGTCCTCCTCCTGCGAAGCTCGCGCTTCGGACAAAGAGCGCTTCCAAGTCTTGGCCTTCGAGGTCTCTTGCGCGACAGGGATCAGTTCGGAGTTCGAGTGCTGATCAAGTATCCCGGGAAGGTGCAGATGCGGTCCGGGTTCATTGACAGAGTGTGAGGCGCAGCGGCCTGGCTGCCCATAGCTTCGGGGTTCTAGTTCCGGATCGGCTGCCGAGGGTTACGGATCAGAGAAGGATAGTTTCGACGCCCAGTTTCGGCACAGCGGGAGTCAGTTTCGGAAGCGGGCCTGTCAGTTTCGGGGGGCGATTTCAGTCTTATTCTCGCGGACCTGAGCCTCAAACTGACCCTTGCGTGAGACCGAAACTGACCATGTCCTGATGCGAAACTGTCCCGGACCATGTTCCGAAACTCCGCCCCGAAATGCAGCCGAAACTAACCTCGAAAACCCCGAAACTCACACGTTCCTGCAGTGGCCTGGACCGCAGGCGTCGCTGTCCAGAGCCATGCAAAGGTTGATGTCCACAGACAGTGCATCTAAAAGTATATCGATGTCCTTTATGCCCACGAACCTCGCTTCAATCCAAAGTGGGATCTCTCTTCCTGACTGCGACCGACCTAACAGCTGCAGAAAGTCTTTGGCCGCTTCATCGCCGATGCTACGATTGTAAGAGAGCAGAATCTTCTGCGGTGGACCCCTTCGCTGCCTTGTCAACCACTCTGCCAGCCACTGCATTGTATCTGGATCGAGTCGGTTGCGCTCCACATCTAGGCATGACACGTGATGTCCTGTCTCTTTCGCAACATTGAGGAAGGCTTCGAGGCCACTTCTGCCCAAGCGATTTCCAGCAAGTAGCAAGCAAAGGTCCAAAGCGACCTCCCTCACCCTCTCCAACACTGATTGGAGAAACTTGGCCACTGTAGCAGCTGCAGAATCTTTGATGCGACGACCACCCAGATCCACAAACAAGCAGGGCCCTTTTCGGTAGATCCACTTGGGAACCGCAGGAGCCTCCGAAAGAGTGGGGTTGGAGCCGCGCGTCGAGGTTTGTCTCTTCGAGGAAGAGCTACAGCTACTCCCAACATGGTCCAATGTGTCGGCTGTGTCTGCTGCGTCTGCCGTCTCGTGCTCTCTGCAACTCCGGGCCTTGGACTTCTTGGGAGTTGGCTTTCTCTTTGCCATCGGCGATTGCGAGGGAGATCTCTTCGCTGCGCTGCTTTTGCTTTCTGCCGCGACTTCAGTCGAATTCGCACCGCTCAGAGGCTTCCGGTTATCCTCTACTGCGTCTTGCACGAACTCCGACAACGGAAACTCCTGGCAGGACAAAACACATTCCATCGCACCGATTGCTCCCCGAGATGCCTGTCCTGGCACTCGGCACAAAACCTCGCAGAACCGAGGGGTGCTCGTTTCTTGCCGGCTTCCGCACTCAGCTCCCGGCCAGTCTCCTTCTGGTACACCGGACCTGAAAGCAGCGTGAGTCGGGCGACTTCGGAGAGCTTGGCTGGGCACCGCTGGGCCGCCAGGTGCGTGGCAGGCCGAGACAGTAAAAGTGGGCGGCCCCCTCAGACATTGCGAGGCACGTCTTTGTGCGACGCAGGGAGAGGTCCAGAAGCAATGCTGCAAACACTGTCGGACTGTCGGGCGGTAGAATTACTTGATTACTTCACCACTGCCAAGCCGCACGACAGCGACCATTGCGTCCATCGCACAGGAGGAGAGCGTCATCCCCGCCCGGTCGCTTGCCTAGCGGTCGTCGAATCGGTTTCCACGGAAATGCTTCCATTGGCCAAGCGCACGGCAGATGCTGCAGACGTGATCTTCAAATTCAGCACTCGTCTCTCCTGCCAAATGAAGAAGCCCACGGCACCCAGCAATGCCGAAGATAAAGCATGGGCCGCATCCTGCCTTCTGAATTCTGATCTTTTTCTTCCGCGGTTATGATGCCTCGGAAAGCAAAAGGCAACATTTAAGCAAGGCCAAGTCGATTCTGAAAACGCCCCTGGGCCAGCACGTCGCAAGTCGCCGTTGACGCCGTACACACCAACTCGGGAAAACCTGTTCTTGCACCTCGGATGCGAGCCTGTACTCAGGCCCATTTTTGCTGCTAGACACCTGCCACAAGTCCACAAGTGAGGGCGCTGCAATGGGCATGTGTTCTCCTGCTCTGCCCAGGTTGAGATGCACCTGCACATCAATCTGCAGGCTGGCGGAGAGAGCAATGACAATAACCAGAAACTGCACTCCCCGTGAATAGTCAGACGACCTCACATGAAAGAAGTGCGTTGGGTTGCAGGAGTCCAGCACGGCAACGAACTCACCCTCTTTGCCTGATAGAGGAGATCGTGTGCCCGGAATCGTCAACTCTGCTACGATCTGGAAGCTGAGGGCAGTGCTGGCTGTGTCGATATCAAGCAGACATGCACCACACCTGGAAGCAGAGAAGACCAGGACAACTACAATGACTACGAGTCTCTCAGCGCTCAGGCCGCGTCTGCTTGGGAGCACTTGTGTGGGCCGCGCTTGCGCTTTCCAGGATAGGACTCGCAGGCGAAGGGGGAATCGGCAATAGCAGATGGTAGCACACGAGCTGCGATGCCCTCGTCAGCCTGAAACCGGACCTGCCCTCCTGCAAAGCAGCCTGCAAGCGGGTGCTGCGCCTGTCAAGGGGGATGCTCTCCGAGTTTCATCGGTGCAGTAATACTCACTGCCTGGGTGTGGTGTCCATAGCAACGAGCGGGACGTGTCAGCTCATGGCAGTGGTGGGATCAAAAAACGCTGCTAGAGCTGGCCAAAATTGTCAGGACCGCCAGTGTGGTGCAAACACTTTGCTACGAAAAGGCTGCAGAGCAGAAGGCAGCTCACACTGCGCTGCATCTACCAGCTGAAGTTCGCTGTTACAGAGAAGAGATATGCAAGTTGTTGTAAGCCACAGCGCCGCACATTTCTACATCAGACTGCTCAGGATCTCTGTCGTCCGATGAACACTTGTCCGCTGGATTCTTGGAGCAAGTTTATGTGGGCGTTTGGCCCGAAACCTCCGAACAAGCCGGAATCTGCTACCGCATTCTGGGGGAGTTGGATGCTGTATATATCGGGTGTTCATGCACCTGCGCCCCACGGATGCAAACAGGTGCCAGACGTATGCCGACATGGGATGCGCAAGCTCCAGGAGGTCACAATGGGCCAGGTAGTGCTGGGCAGCAAAAACATGACCCGCAGCCCACCGCACGTCCTTGCGAACGGGACCGCTGTCTGTGCTGGTGATTCGGCCGTGACTGTGTCAAGAGCGCCCGGTCCCGGTCCTGCAGCGCATCCGAGAGATGCCGAACAGCCAGCCCAATGAGGCACCTTCGTCTGCTTCAGGCAATACCTTATGTACCTCAAACACGTTAAAGAACTGTATAGCCAGCTATGGAGAGAGGTTCGATGCATCCGATGATTACAGCCCAGGCACCTCGATGCGGGTTCGTTAACTGCGAAAGGCCGCTCCACTGACGCCAGCTGTTCCAAGGCATCTGCGGTGGAAAATGCATCAATTCCGGGCCTGACAGAAAGTTCTTTGCTCTGCTCATGCGACCTGTGCTTTCAGCTTGTGGCCATGCCTCCTCTCTGCGGGGAGAAGCTTCTCTGTCAGAAACAGCAACATGTCGAAGGGCGCCACCGAACCAGAAGCAAAGAGTCGAATCTGTGACCGGTGCAGGAAGGCCACGACGCACCACCACCAGTTCCAGAAAGACTGGCGTGTTGCATTTTCTGCTACGGCTGTGCTCAGGCCAGCAGACAGAAACTCCGGATCTACATATGCACCCAGCAGAACGGCCACACAAGCATCACACTCGTGATCCACCTCGTGCCGCTCCACTTGCAGCAGTCTTTCTAGATGCGGCTCGGCAACTTTCCAGCACTCTGCCAAGGAGTCCAGCAAGTCCAAAGTCGAGTCGAGACTTTGAGTGCGGGCGTCCAGAAGTCGGCTGAAGTTCTGCATCCCAGCTGCGCAAAGCAGCTCCAAAGCACAGCTGGGGTTTGACAAGCAGCCGCTCCCGCTCACACAGGAGCCACTGGCTTCTGTAGACGGAGCTCTCGGTGCACCTGCCCCGAAAGAGCGCTGCAGACGCAGCACATGGTGCACGCCTGAGGGACGGGGAGGCCGGAACTGGCCCTGGTCCTGGCCCTGGCCCTGGCCGTGACAGTCTTCCCGCTTTGCCCACGGAGAGGCACAGACCGCTTCTCTGTAGTCGAAGGGGCGTCTCGGCAGATTACACCTCTCATTCGGGTAAGAGCCAGGTTCGCACTCTGACTGAAGCAGGAAGGACGGACCAAGCCGTTCTGTAGCACAAGCACGCAACTGCGGACGCAGCCACTTCACCACAGCACTGTCAGCAAAGGATCCGTTCGATAGGACCTGTGGCAAACAAGGCTCTAAACTTCGAACGTAGTGAGGACGCATGGATGGGAACGATGACTTGGAGGTGGTTGGCCGCTGGAACATGCGGTAGTGCACCGAATAGCCCCGGAAAGATGCATCTGCCAGCTCATTCACGATGCACTGCGATGCAAACAATGAGATTTGCTCGAAACTTTCCTCATACGGCAACAGTACTGGATGTACCGACCAGTGCAATGCTATCACCTTGATCAAGGCAGGCTCGGGCTTGTTGGCTGGGCAGGAATTACAGAGGCAGGCGTTTGGGCTGTTGGTGTTTACTCTGCTCTTGAAAGTGCAAGCATTCGACAGTGTGCACCTTGTGATCGATGGTAGACGTGCAAACACGCATATCAGCGGCGCCCACACAGTCTGCATCATCAATGCCGAAAACTGGCGTTGCAACGGCCGGTACGTCTGAAACCAGTAATCGGTGGAAAAAAGAAGCAGGCGACTCAAAAGCCGCTGGCAGAACATCGCTGTTCCCACAAGACAGAGGAGAGCAATTTCGGAAGATAAACTCCCCACTGTCATCTGCCAGGATGAAGTACAGAAAGCGGATGCTTTCGTCCAGCTCCAGCTGAAGAGCGTGCTGGTAAAGCAGATTGCGGCCTGCAGAAGGACACGCAAGCAGAGACGCCCTTCTGCTGTTCCCCTACTGTGGAGACTCGAACGTCTACCCTGCGCCCTAGGACCACAAGTAGCTTGCACCTGGAGTGTAGGTCATGTTGCCTCTGACGGAGCGTCCGAAAGACCAATCGACTTCGGGTAGACAGACGTGGAGGAAGCGAGGCCCTTTCTCCAGCGTCCGGTCGCAAAGCCCAAAGCTTCCCCAGACCAGCCAGGTCTCCGGCATCTCCGGAATCGCTGAGAGCCAAGTAGGTGGCAAGCCGAAGCCCTGGCTCATCCACACGAAGCCTTTCGGAGACTCGCCGCGAACATCGACCTGAACACCGAGGACCAGGAGTGACAGGAGCGATAATGATGCTCTCATGTCCGCCCTCCGCGCAGGGTGGCCAGAGTGAAGGGACCATTGCTGCGCACTCCATTGGCGTGGACCGATTGGCCTTACAGAACAGTCTCTGAACCAGCGCGCCGAGGAGATAACCCGGCCCAACTTTTTTGAAGCTCACCCGTTCAATGCTTTGCAAAGAGCCGACTACAATGGCCCTTGCTGCAAACAGCACTTTCCCGTACAAACGTTCATGTTCTGCTTGTTCTCACATCAACGTCTGTGTGGTGAGTGCCCAACTCTACTGACTCTGCGGCTTATTTGTCGCAGGCAGTGCTGGTCAAGGAGCAAGATTCGTACCAGCGGGGTCTCTTGCGGGGTCTGAGAGTGCTTTGGCTTTGGACAAGGCGAAACAAGCAGACTGGCTTGGCAGCTCAAAGCAAACCCCGGCCCTTGCTGAAAGACCGTTGCGGATCGACCAGCTTTAACTTTCTTCCCAACAGTTTGCTCCGAAGTTTATGCCGGATCGGCGTGAATTTATCCGTAACTCAGGCAATGCAGGCACAGCTTTTTGCACGCTGGCCCTGCAAAGCGGCTCAGAATTCGAAGCTCGTCAAAGAAGTGTACTGCCTCGACAGGAGCAGAACCTGCAGCCTGCACGCCTGCATCAAAACAGCTCTTGACTCTTGACCACGCAGCTGCCGGCTGCCTCCAATCTGCTCCATGAGGGTGCTTGTGCAAAAGAACACCGCAGTGAAACCTGCTGTCCTTCTGCATTGCAACATTCATTCGCTGAGGCGATCCGACACCAGTGTCCATGCAGGGCTTTTCGGGCACCCAAGTTTGGATTGCAACACAATAGAAACGTGTCTCGCAGTCGCAGTTGAACGTTGTCGCTTGCTCCCCCAGGCCGGTCCTGCGAGTCCCGCTGCAAACGTTGGCAGCGATGACTCCTGCAAAAGCAGTCTGCCCTACAATGAAGGCTCCAGCTAGGGCGGCAGATGCACGGCTCCTTCTGCAACACACTAAAAATCGATGTTTGCCGCCGCACATCATTGTCAAGCAGGACGCGCTCCCGCCTAGTACACGGCAAGCGAAAGAAAGAAAGACAGAAAGAAAGAGACTGCTCTGACTGCTCTGGTCTCCACCGAGGATAAGCCGAGGACAGATCGCTTGGCCGCTGACGCCCTGCCATTACCCGAGATGCGGAACGCACAAAAACACGGCTGCTGCGGACGTCGCGCCTTCTCGGGCATTTACAGTCTTTGCAATTGCCCATGATTGAGGATCACTCTGAAGAAGGTCAGCACCTTTGTGCCAGGCGGGGCAGTGACGGCCAGAGTCTTCCACGAAGGATTGAACCGGGCAACTGACCAGGCTTGAAAGTTAACTCGAAGGCCAGGTCGGGTGCTGACAAGGCTCCGTGCCTGGTGCGAAGAATCGAAATCCCAACAATCTCGGGGCGGTCTGCAATTTGCCGGACTCACTGCAGCACTTCGACGATGCACGAGCAGTTCACCTGGCAGATGCAGTCCTGTGTCGTGTCTGATGCACCATGCAGACTGCGCACCCAGGGTCTCTCCCAGTCTAGCCATGTGGTTTTTGAAACTGCTTCCGGCGGCCTGGGACATAAGCAGTGAGGCATTTGTGCCTGATTCGCACGACAAAAGGCTAGACGATGCGACATGGCAACTTGCGAAAGTATCCGGAAGGTTACCAGCACCATTGGCATTGAGCTCCACACTCTCGTGCAGAACCTCGGAAGCGTTACCAGCATACTCTGGATACTACCATCGATGGACGTACTCAGACATGTGCATAATGACGAAACCACTGCAAGAATCGAAACCCATGCACAGAGCAATGAGGACCCGTTTTCCAGCCTCCAATGACCCGTTGCCTAACCTGCTTAAAGATATTGTTAAGTTAGACAGCTGGCTTTCCCGACAAGAAAGGACAAGAAACCACGCCAGTTTTCTGAAGAGAAAACTGGACCGTCCGGTCGGCGCGATCAGCTGGCAGGTGCAAGACAGAGAAGAAATCGAAAATCCGGACAAAGCCCGACAGAGCAAGCATCTCTATTCAGCGTCAAAGCAGAAAAGGACGGCGACTATGCATATCCACGGCAGACAGACGAACTGCCACCCGGACAGGCTCGAAGAGTAGCCCAGACTCAACCCCCAACTTGAGCGAGGCAGGCACGGTGGCCCTGGACAGAGCCCAGACAACCCGGATTTACTTTGTCGATGTCGACGAATGCAGTGCGGTGTGTTGGCAAGTCCTTATGCAGTTCTTCGTTCTCAACTTTCTGCTGTGAGCACATCCAGGAAGGCCTGCACTCCCGTCCCAC